TCCAGAACTAATAAAAATATATGTATACTAGCATTGGAGGGTGTGAATATAGGATAAAGGCAATAGGAACGTTAATCTTGGTTTGAGACTGAACACCAACAATTGTGGAACTATCATATAGTCATAATGATAGATAAAATGTACGTCACATCAAAGTTCACGGTATCGCATTCAGAGTTCATTTCCTATCTTAGATCGCTCGGCAAACAAGGCCTCGGAAATTATTCAACTAATAGAAAAAATATGTGGTATGATTGCCGATGAGACAATTGTCTACCAGATAATTTAACAGCTATAATTATAGATCACCGTACGGCCCTCAACAATGAACAAGATATACAGCAACAAACAGAATGTTATATTGGAAAGAGGAACACATTTCAACGAAGGGAAATAAAAAATATATTATAAATTCATATTTTATGTATTCTCTTAGTAAAATAGATATGTTTCACAAACACCATAACGCAACATACGTTGCCTATAATATAGTGAACGTCAAATTAGCGATGCTGTGATATTTTGGTAGACCACCATGCGACCGCTTTATTTTGATGCTTTGTACATTACTCTTTATTTTATTGTTTATTTTTTATCAAAATGTTTCTTTTGCAAAGGAATTTGACATTTTGGTGATGTTTTTCGAAAAAAAAACTGATCTTGTTTTTACTCTTTTTGAAGATTTGTAACAAATTGTCCTTAATAATTCAAAGAAAAAATGAAGACGCTTTCATTGTGACATTTTCTGTGGTAGACATCCATTCAACGCATCGATATTCGATACTAATCGATAAAAATATAATTTAGAGTATAAAATATTTTCTTTTTTATTTGGAATTTATCATACTGGCTTCATTTCTCCGTTCTGAAATGCATAAAAATATTTGTTGTTGCTTTCTATAACCAACACCGAAATTACTAACGTAAAACGTTGGTTAAAAGTTTTGTGACAGGAGACCTTTGGGGATTCATATGCTTAGTATTTTTTTGTTTTATGTTATAATTAAGATTGTTGTCCGAATGAATGCCGTTCAAATGTTATAGATTGGGAGGCATGTTACATTTTCTGACTAGATGAACAGTTTTGCACATTTTTAATCAATATTGATAATTTCTCTATAGAACCAGTTTTTGTAAACGTTGTTGTGACAGTGTACTTTGGGATTGGTTTTCTGGTAATGATGTCGAAATGTCGCTCATTTACATCGGATTTCTTTGCTTTCAAAGAGTTTTCCAAACTTGTCTTACAAAAGGATATGCGCTACGCATCATAAATTTGAGAATATAATATTTTCGCTATAAATGCATTTTGAACTGTTGTGCCGTAAGGAAGTGATACTTTTCTATGGTGTCTTCAATCAAAAATGACTTCTTTCAAGGCCTGCTCGGTCCGAAAATTGCGTTATTTCCGTTTTACACACATGTCTTCCTAAGCCCCAATGTTCCTCTTCCAAATAGTATAGCATTATTATGTTTATATACCTATAAGTACCCGAAAAAAGAAGGAATACTCGAAGAACAACATTAATATGTTACCCGTCTAAACGAAAAATATGAGAATTTTCTTGTTAGTATTCGGAAAACTGAATGACTAGACCAAATAAAAACCGATAAGCTATTTGTAACTTAATTTCTGAGGTGCTTTAAAATTTTTTTACACAAAATAACCCTTGATCTTTCCTGTATTTTTCTTATTTAAAGCCGATTTTTTGTGTAATTGCACGTAACGTCATTATTTCATTAGTTACGTCAAAAAGTGATTATATACAAAAAATAATAATAAAAAAAAAAACAGTACTTGAAGAATGCAGTAATTATGTTAAATAAATAACTAACGAATTTACTATGACTAGATAAGTTTTTTAAATTGATTTCCAAATTGGCCTGTTTGATTCACTGATCGGATCATCATAATACAAAGATCAAATTAATGGAACAAAATCTTCTACAGACACTGTAGTTTTTTTCATTTATCAAACTGATAAAAAAATATCTACCAAGAACAAACGCTCATGCTTTGTATTGTACTAACGGGGGAAAAAAAGCGAATGGATTTTTAATTTAATGATAAAAAAAAAATGTGTGGACTTTAACGGTGATTTTTTGTGGACTTTAGCGGAACTTGTTATTGTGGAATTTAACGGCGTTTTCTTGTGGATTTAAGCGGAGGTCATTTTGTGGACTTTAGCGGCGTTATGGACTTTAGCGGAAATTTGTTGTGGACTTTAGCGGTGTTGTGGACTTTAGATGAATTGTGGACTTTAACGGTGCCACATAGCGACACTCATCCGAAGTACATTAAACAAACGACATATGGAAATCGGTTTGAAAATAGAACTATTTTTTTTCCAAAATGGTCGCGTGGTTTTACCTCATCAAGTAATGTGATAACCACATCAAAGGATGACAGGACCACATCAAATACTGGAACGAACACATCATGTAGTGTGAAATCGTCAAATTTTGAAATATCATTATGTAATGTTAAAGTCATATAAAGAATTGGCAAATCATTATTACGAAATAACAAAACCACATCATGTAATGAAACACCTACATTACGGTAAGCCACATACACATCAAGTAATGTTAACCACATTGCCTAATGACACAACCACATTAAATTATGGTGAAACCACATCAAGTAATGACAAAACCATATTAAGTAATGACAAAACCATATTAAGTAATATCAAAACATCATTAAGTAATGTCAATGCCATATTATGTAAAGACAAAATATCATCAAGGAATAATTAAACCACATAACGTAATATCAGATACCACATAAGACAGCTGTGGCGTTCCATATTAGTGCTATAAAGTTTATTAAGATAAGTAAATGCACACACTAGAAATTTAGACGTGACCGATTGCTCAAAATATTTCGAGTTGTCTTTTAAAAACTAACTTCAATCAATCAAATTCGTGACGTCCAACCTTCCGAGTAAAATAAATATACCCACTGGTTCCCACCGACTTTGTTAGACTAGAACATGAAACACATTATTCAGAAGCATTGACTAGTTCAAGACCTTAAAAAAAATGCGATAATACAAAATTTAATTCTAGAGTAAGGCTCTAACAATCCCGAAGATTGACCACCGTTACTATAAAATATCCCTCTCGGATATACGATGTACATTCCGTCGGGCACTTCCTGTGTCCCGACCGCGGCCGGGTCTAAATACAGCCATCTCCGATATCCCGGGGATAGTCCGGATAATTACGTCACTGCGACGCCAACTGGACAACTGTGGACTTTTAGAACGTAGCATAAAAGAAGAACGACAAACTTAACACTGGTAAGAACGTCTACCACGAATATGGATAAATCTTGTTATATTTATTAACCATTGCTGTATTAAATGAGTAGTCATTTAAAGGATTTCTTGAATTAATCAACTATCCTAGTAACCAGGGAAGATATTGTTTCGTGCTGGAGTACGACAAAGAGACACACAAATGCAAAAGGATCACTTTGTTTATTTACATTCAGACCCGTTACATAAGCAATTGTAGGCAACAGTATGGCATTCAATTACCTTCCATGTTTTTTTCAAATCGGTAATAAAACTGTAGTCTTGGTTTCCATTTTTTGGAATCCATAGGACTAAAACTTGTTAATTGTTGAAGCATCTAGGCATTAGGAAGAATTCTAAAACTAATCGGTTCAAAGTTTAATAATGCGTCTGCTATTTTTGTGGTCTGTGATATATTGGAAGACAGCAACCCAATTACACAAAAATCAAGACATTTCATACTGCCGCTGGACAGTAAACATTCATTCGGGGCAACCAACCGTGCATATATCATGAAAAAATTTGCAAAGATACACTATATAATTAAAGTACGTTCATCTACAAAAGACTTATCAGTGAGAATCGAATCAAAACATTTGGAAAGCCAAATCTCTTATGAAAATGAAAAACATTGAAAATAAAACATTACAAAAAATGTATGCTATGTCAGACCATTTGGGGATGAAAAAATAATATTTCGAAGGATTTTGATACTTTGAGAACATTAGATTTACAGATAAATCGACACTGCCAAGCACGACAATAAATTTGGAAAACAATTACAATTTGTTTACATTTGTTGTTATCGTTTTCAGTCTAGTGATTTACTAAATTTCGTGACCTTACTGGATGGTTGAATGGGTAAATATTATCATATACTCAACATCACAAATAACGCACCACTTGTACCCTTAAACAGTATACTATAGTAATCATAATTTCTTGTTTTTGTTAAAAAAATATTTGTAAAACCCATAGATATTTTAAGCAAACCTTGAAATTAATTCAAGGGTTAACAGAGAAAATCAATAAGGGGCGATAATGGTGCTTTCATCCCCAAAGCCAAAAATCAAAAGTCTGAGATTTGTCAAATTCGAATTGCTCTTTGCAAAAAATATCAATCAAGAAACTAAACATCAAAGTAATTTCCTTTGTTTTCAGGTGAAATTATATAAAATTATATGAATGGGAATGTTGAGATAGAACAGTAAAGTTCTGACAAAAACTCGTAGAATGTAGAAATCTCGTATTATAGATATACATGATATATAGGGAAATAGATTATTGAACCTGGATATCAAATATATAGCTATCTTCATTTTTTTTATCAAAAGTGGACATAAAACACTATAAGACTCGCTCGACGGTTATTGATCACTCCAAAGAAATTAAAGTAGTTTGTGCGTTTCTTTAGTTGTTTGGTATATACGAAGTCTGCCAGACCGTACAGAAAGACATACATAAAGGCATGCTGAATATTCCATCAAACAGGATATGCAATAAAGGACATTGGGACAACGTATAGGCACGATTGCAATCAATGCAAATATGGGACCTGTTTGATGGGACCAGTTTGAATTTAACTGTAAATGTATGTTATCTTTTTATCTTATGTCAGGTTTAACTTTGAGTTTGTCCAATTGATTATCGCCTTTATAATCTTTTGCAATTAAAACAAAAGGCAATAATTTAATTTAAATGTTTCAAATAGTGTACAGTGTATTGAGACTTAAGATGAGCGTTAAATGTAAGTCTATTTGATATAAATATATGATATTTTACACATTTTCTCGTTTACAGTCTTAAAATATCATTTTTATTTATCATGATGTAAACTCATAAAAGGATGTCTAAATTCATCAAAATATATTTTGAATTAAAATCGAGATTTATAATCTGTAATCGTTCATAAGAGACGGGTTTACTTAATTTCAGTCAGCATTTCAAATAGTATGTTTAGAAAGGATTATTCTGACAATTACCACTTAAAGTGATTTGATTCGATTTGAAAGCTTTCTCCTTATTCAATAATTGAATGTTGGACTTTTAATTGAACAATTTAAAGGACGCCATAAAACGGATATTAATAGTTAAAATTCAATTCAATGTTTTATTTAAGTCTGATCTCTCGACAACCAGACTCAAGCTAGCGAACAATAAGCCAGCGAACAATAAGGTGTATCAAGCTAGCGAACAATAAGCCAGCGAACAATAAGAAATACGCGCCAAACTGATCTTGCCTAAAAACCGAAGACTTGCATTAACATGAAACGTTCTTTGAAATCTGATGACAATCATTTCCAGAAGGAAGACGAAATGCAATACATTTTCAAAAAGACTATTAATTGAAAACTGTTTATTTATTTATTTATTTATTTATATATTCAAGACAACATAATTGTTCTTGATCACAGGACATCTCTTGTAGGATTTTCAAAATTCCTTTTAGGTTCTCCTCTCCCTTTTTTGATTACCTTTGAGTAGAAACGGTTTGTCTTTATAATCATGATAATAGTGAATAAATAAAAAAATTAGACCATACTTAACTAGTGTAAAGATAAAATTAAATCCACATGCTTATATTCTTTTTAAAAGAAAACAAAATACCGATTTTGGAACGTAAAGTACAGAATTTTGCAGTCAGAATTATAAGTTGAAATAAAAGCTAATAAATATCCAGTTTTCGTAAGGAATGATTGAAAACTGGCAATTTATTTATTACATTTCAATAGGAAATGTGTTTTATGTGACAATGACACACGTGACACGATATCTGAATGGATATAAAGATTTTAGCTACTTTAACAGACAAAATTTTCAAATCAAAGCTTTTCAAGGAGGCATATTTAAAAAAAATCGGGAAACAGACGGAAAAACCGAAATCAGAAGAACAATTTCTTTACACTGATTTAAATTAACAAGAAGGGGAAGCAATCACAACAATACAAACTATTTCATTTTAACATTAGAATCATAATCAGGGAAACGGTTCAAAGTTTGGGTAGGGTGACCCAACCCCCTCCCTTCTTTAATTCATAAAAAAGTCCCTACGGCAAAGCTTTTGTCCACACTAGGTACAAATGATAGGCAATTGCCTAAGGTTGCCTGGACCCAAAGACCCAGGTGGGTAAAGTTACGGAACTTTTTTAATTGAGGTTCGAAGTTGGGGTAGGGTGACCCAACCCCCTCCCTTCTTTAATTCATAAAAAAGTCCCTACGGCAAAGCTTTTGTCCACACTAGGTACAAATGATAGGCAATTGCCTAAGGTTGCCTGGACCCAAAGACCCAGGTGGGTAAAGTTACGGAACTTTTTTTAATTGAGGTCCTAAGTTGGGGTAGGGTGACCCAACCCCCTCCCTTCTTTAATTCATAAAATGTCCCTTCGGCAAAGCTTTTGTCCACACTAGGTACAAATGATAGGCAATTGCCTAAGGTTGCCTGGACCCAAAGACCCAGGTGGGTAAAGTTACGGAACTTTTTAAATTGAGGTCCGAAGTTGGGGTAGGGTGACCCAACCCCCTCCCTTCTTTAATTCATAAAAAAGTCCCTACGGCAAAGCTTTTGTCCACACTCGATACAAATGATAGGCAATTGCCTAAGGTTGCCTGGACCCAAAGACCCAGGTGGGTAAAGTTACGGAACTTGTTTAATTGAGGTCCGAAGTTGGGGTAGGGTGACCCAACCCCCTCCCTTCTTTAATTCATAAAAAAGTCCCTACGGCAAAGCTTTTGTCCACACTAGATACAAATGATAGGCAATTGCCTAAGGTTGCCTGGACCCAAAGACCCAGGTGGGTAAAGTTACGGAACTTGTTTAATTGAGGTCCGAAGTTGGGGTAGGGTGACCCAACCCCCTCCCTTCTTTAATTCATAAAAAAGTCCCTACGGCAAAGCTTTTGTCCACACTAGATACAAATGATAGGCAATTGCCTAAGGTTGACTGGACCCAAAGACCCAGGTGGGTAAAGTTACGGAACTTGTTTAATTGAGGTCCGAAGTTGGGGTAGGGTGACCCAACCCCCTCCCTTCTTTAATTCATAAAAAAGTCCCTACGGCAAAGCTTTTGTCCACACTAGATACAAATGATAGGCAATTGCCTAAGGTTGACTGGACCCAAAGACCCAGGTGGGTAAAGTTACGGAACTTGTTTAATTGAGGTCCGAAGTTGGGGTAGGGTGACCCAACCCCCTCCCTTCTTTAATTCATAAAAAAGTCCCTACGGCAAAGCTTTTGTCCACACTAGATACAAATGATAGGCAATTGCCTAAGGTTGACTGGACCCAAAGACCCAGGTGGGTAAAGTTACGGAACTTGTTTAATTGAGGTCCGAAGTTGGGGTAGGGTGACCCAACCCCCTCCCTTCTTTAATTCATAAAAAATTCCCTACGGCAAAGCTTTTGTCCACACTAGATACAAATGATAGGCAATTGCCTAAGGTTGCCTGGACCCAAAGACCCAGGTGGGTAAAGTTACGGAACTTGTTTAATTGAGGTCCGAAGTTGGGGTAGGGTGACCCAACCCCCTCCCTTCTTTAATTCATAAAAAAGTCCTTACGGCAAAGCTTTTGTCCACACTAGATACAAATGATAGGCAATTGCCTAAGGTTGCCTGGACCCAAAGACCCAGGTGGGTAAAGTTACGGAACTTGTTTAATTGAGGTCCGAAGTTGGGGTAGGGTGACCCAACCCCCTCCCTTCTTTAATTCATAAAAAAGTCCCTACGGCAAAGCTTTTGTCCACACTAGATACAAATGATAGGCAATTGCCTAAGGTTGACTGGACCCAAAGACCCAGGTGGGTAAAGTTACGGAACTTGTTTAATTGAGGTCCGAAGTTGGGGTAGGGTGACCCAACCCCCTCCCTTCTTTAATTCATAAAAAAGTCCCTACGGCAAAGCTTTTGTCCACACTAGATACAAATGATAGGCAATTGCCTAAGGTTGACTGGACCCAAAGACCCAGGTGGGTAAAGTTACGGAACTTGTTTAATTGAGGTCCGAAGTTGGGGTAGGGTGACCCAACCCCCTCCCTTCTTTAATTCATAAAAAAGTCCCTACGGCAAAGCTTTTGTCCACACTAGATACAAATGATAGGCAATTGCCTAAGGTTGCCTGGACCCAAAGACCCAGGTGGGTAAAGTTACGGAACTTGTTTAATTGAGGTCCGAAGTTGGGGTAGGGTGACCCAACCCCCTCCCTTCTTTAATTCATAAAAAAGTCCCTACGGCAAAGCTTTTGTCCACACTAGATACAAATGATAGGCAATTGCCTAAGGTTGCCTGGACCCAAAGACCCAGGTGGGTAAAGTTACGGAACTTGTTTAATTGAGGTCCGAAGTTGGGGTAGGGTGACCCAACCCCCTCCCTTCTTTAATTCATAAAAAAGTCCCTACGGCAAAGCTTTTGTCCACACTAGATACAAATGATAGGCAATTGCCTAAGGTTGCCTGGACCCAAAGACCCAGGTGGGTAAAGTTACGGAACTTGTTTAATTGAGGTCCGAAGTTGGGGTAGGGTGACCCAACCCCCTCCCTTCTTTAATTCATAAAAAAGTCCCTACGGCAAAGCTTTTGTCCACACTAGATACAAATGATAGGCAATTGCCTAAGGTTGCCTGGACCCAAAGACCCAGGTGGGTAAAGTTACGGAACTTGTTTAATTGAGGTCCGAAGTTGGGGTAGGGTGACCCAACCCCCTCCCTTCTTTAATTCATAAAAAAGTCCCTACGGCAAAGCTTTTGTCCACACTAGATACAAATGATAGGCAATTGCCTAAGGTTGACTGGACCCAAAGACCCAGGTGGGTAAAGTTACGGAACTTGTTTAATTGAGGTCCGAAGTTGGGGTAGGGTGACCCAACCCCCTCCCTTCTTTAATTCATAAAAAAGTCCCTACGGCAAAGCTTTTGTCCACACTAGATACAAATGATAGGCAATTGCCTAAGGTTGACTGGACCCAAAGACCCAGGTGGGTAAAGTTACGGAACTTGTTTAATTGAGGTCCGAAGTTGGGGTAGGGTGACCCAACCCCCTCCCTTCTTTAATTCATAAAAAAGTCCCTACGGCAAAGCTTTTGTCCACACTAGATACAAATGATAGGCAATTGCCTAAGGTTGACTGGACCCAAAGACCCAGGTGGGTAAAGTTACGGAACTTGTTTAATTGAGGTCCGAAGTTGGGGTAGGGTGACCCAACCCCCTCCCTTCTTTAATTCATAAAAAAGTCCTTACGGCAAAGCTTTTGTCCACACTAGATACAAATGATAGGCAATTGCCTAAGGTTGACTGGACCCAAAGACCCAGGTGGGTAAAGTTACGTAACTTGTTTAATTGAGGTCCGAAGTTGGGGTAGGGTGACCCAACCCCCTCCCTTCTTTAATTCATAAAAAAGTCCCTACGGCAAAGCTTTTGTCCACACTAGATACAAATGATAGGCAATTGCCTAAGGTTGACTGGACCCAAAGACCCAGGTGGGTAAAGTTACGGAACTTGTTTAATTGAGGTCCGAAGTTGGGGTAGGGTGACCCAACCCCCTCCCTTCTTTAATTCATAAAAAAGTCCCTACGGCAAAGCTTTTGTCCACACTAGATACAAATGATAGGCAATTGCCTAAGGTTGACTGGACCCAAAGACCCAGGTGGGTAAAGTTACGGAACTTGTTTAATTGAGGTCCGAAGTTGGGGTAGGGTGACCCAACCCCCTCCCTTCTTTAATTCATAAAAAAGTCCCTACGGCAAAGCTTTTGTCCACACTA